ATCCAATTTTCTGGTCAGTCACCTGGTCATTTTTTATTCTTGCTGTCTCTCTCAATTTTCGTAGTTAACAGAATTAGCTTCAGCCTGTACTTAACTGTCCCTTTATCAGTCACGGAAACTAGGTGGATTACGTATGCTTCCTCAGAGTAAAACCATCTCTTGTAGGATATTTCAAATCTCGCCTCATGTCGTTTGGAATTTAGATAATATTTAGCTGGAACCATAAATCAATTGTAATGGTTTTAACTCTGATTTACATAATTTGAACATAGGTGTTCCTCAAATGTCTGTGCTGGAACCGTTAATATTTTTTGCTTTACGTTACTAAAGTTAACTACACATATTAATTCGTATTCCATATATTTTTTTATTGGAGAATTCAGCAAATACCTTCGAGGAAACACTGTCGTTAAATCTAGCTAAACTGGTTCAGTATTGGTGAGTTGCAACCTTAAATATCCACGTTCGTTGATTTTTAAAAGGTTTCTTTGTTCTGTCAAAATGTTTGTAGCCACAGTGAAGCCTTTTTCGACTAATTATGATGATGGAAAAGCGTAAGGTATTTTTCAGCAATATTCCACAATACAGGATACTGTGTTTTAATGTTGCGCTGCAACCAGAACTTCTGGTAGCCTCGGTTGCACTTCTGCTTAAGCTCCTCGTCTGTGCCTGATGATGATCAACTCTTCTTGCGTTATCACATTGGCTTCTTCCATGGCTGTGATATTGTACGGATTTATTATCCATTGAGGAATCTGTAAATTTAAGAGATCCTCAAACCTCTTAGTAAATTCCCTGGTGCAATCTAGGACTTGATTGTTTGCTACTATATCCTGTCTGTGAATCAATCACACTGTGAATAAATAGTACCTCAGGCAGTTATGGCTTTAAGTGAGCTATAAAACCACGGTGACGACCAACCATAGATAGTGCACATCAGTCGCAACAGAAACAATGTTCTTCCATGGAATAGCTTTGTCGGTAAAAATACGTTCCACGGCCTGAGAAATCGATTCTCTTTTGGTAACAGTCTCTAAATATGTTACAAAAAGCAATTCTAGGCACATATTTTCATCTTTAATATATCGAACATATCCTAACAACAGAGCTTCATTGCCGGGTAATATAGACTGGAGAGAGAATCTGTTGGTCTATTGGTCTCTGAACGGTGATATTTCTCAAGAGAATTCTCTTTATAATATCATGTGCGGGCTTGTGTAATACATTGTTGAGGTCCTCCTCAATGGTTGGTAAAATAAGCTGCTCTCAAATTGTGTGTGGTTTCCCTGACTTCGCTATTAGTAAAGATATATTATAGGACGCTCGTAAACCATCAAGGTCTTGCATGGATGATGCCGGCCAACATCAATTTTATGGATAACCTTTTCTTTTTTTTTATTTAAGTGCTTGAAAGTTCACTTTTTTGTCAGCATGTACTCTTGATAAGTGGTCCTCCATTTTTGAAGGCTTCATAGCATCGTTATTGAATTCTTTTTCACATATGAGACATATTGGCAAGTACTGATTTGATAGAAATGGAATAAATCCAAACAGCAAGTAGTCCAAACTGTATTGCTTGCATTTTTTTTTTCGTGTCTACCAACATAAAACTCGCAGTAAACCTGCAAAAAATAAGTTTATGTAACTACTTAAAAAACATCAATAAAACTGTTAAATTTGAACAAAGGCTTATTTTTATCACACCTAGGCACTTGATGTTTTTCAGGTATGCTCACGAACTACTCATTGATAAACTTGAATATAGTCACTGTAGTATAGAAAATTTGTATTAGGTACTAATCAGCGTAAAGAAAGAAAAACAAAGGAAAATGAACATTTATAATTTTAGGTAACAACTTTTCTAAAGTAATTTCAAAAATACTTAGAAAAATATTAAAACGTTTTTTCCTGAAATGCAGAAATGTACTGTCACTACATGTATTATTAAATGTATATTACAGGTATATAGCCACCTTTCTGTAATGTAATTTTAATAAAGATAATTTTATGAAAATTTTCTATTTTCACATTTATCAATTATCCAGTATGTTGTGTATTCCCAAACATAGGACACCCAAATTTAAAATGTGTGCTGTGTTAAGTTTTGAAGCTGTATTACCACTTAATTTTTTAAAAGTCGTCAGAAAAAACCACATCAAAAATAAATTAAATTGTTTACTTTTGGATGGGGCTTATAATATTGTTACGCTGGCTTTTGATATCTCATTTTATTTCAATTCAACTTTTACAATAATTCAATTGAAAACATTAACGTATAACGTCTCACATGAAACTGAAACAGGATCATCGACTTATATAGCTTGCTTGACCCTTCTAGAACCTTCTCGAACAGTCCAGATTATTCTTGACAAGGAATGACATTTCCAGAAATTTCTGGACTATTCTATCTTCTTCTATTACTCGTACTCTTACTTATGACGTTGTAGGGTGATGGGTGACACTGCACTTCTTTTTGTATTTGTACGTTTCCTATAACAGCCGCAGGCTACTGCATAGTGCCGGGTAACAATATTAATGAGTATATGCCAGATACTTTAAGGTAGGCCAGTTACTTTTTACATTTATTTAACGATATATTTTATTTTGGTTTATTTGGCTCCTGCATGGTGAAAAGGGTATAAGTCGAAAGTGTAAAATTTTCAGGAAAAGGTGTTGTTTGGTGATTTCTACGCGTCAGTTGGTAATCCAGTTAAATCACTTGCTTTAGCTTGTTAAATGCCAATATATTATTTGAATGACTTATACCTTTTTCTGCAAACATACAAATCATTATGATCTATTCAAATAAACATTAAACATGTTAAAATTGACTTATTTCCTTTTCACCCTGCAGTAGCCTTTTAATGTTTTATATACCGGGTGTTCAAATTAAAGTGTTACAGTTAAATACCACCTTTTATAAAAAAAACGTTTCAAACGAAAGTTTTATATTTTTTTGGGGTAAACATTTTGGCTAAACTCTTTTTTTATAGCTAACCATAATATGGCCAACTTTTTTTCGCGCAGCAAAATTTTCAAGTAGGTGTCAATAAGTAAAAGTCCAATAAAAAAATGTTTCCTTTAAAATTTTCTTATTTTTTTATGAACTTTAAAAAATATGTAAAAAATGGGGTAAGTCCACCTCGATACGGCCATATTATGGACAGCTATAAAAAAATGAATTTCGCCAAAATGTTTCCCTCACATAAGACTTTTTTTTCTAAAATTCTTTTTTATTAAATGCATGTTTTCGGCGGTATTTAACTGTAACACTAATTTGAACACCCGGTATAAAAAGTAATAAAATATCTTGGTTCTATGAACTTTATAAATGTTCAAAAGCACTGATAAATACTGTTCATTCATTAAAACCTAATCCTGTCCCGAAAATAGGAATAAATAGCTGCAGGCATCAAAACCCACATGAGGACTCCTGTAATTTATAAGATAAAAATTTACATTATATTCATTCTCCATATTTTAGTTCTATGGACTCTTAACTATGCTTGTTTTGTTCTCGAAATGAATATCAAGTCATCGATAGTACATTTCAAAAAATTATCATTTGAATAGATGTTTTTCATTTTCCGAGATTTTCTGAAGTCCATTTCGCATAAGTTTTTCCGTTCGGGTAATCTCGAAATCTAACCTATATATGGTGAATAAGATGTAAGAAATCAATCCCACACCATTTTTGCGATTCTTGTTTTTGTTGGAGACGAGAGACGAGCCAGATATGAAGTTTCTTTTATAAATAAATCAAACCCGAATATAAAACAAAATACATTTTCCCGTGGGTTTAGTTACTACTACTAAATAAAGACGTTGACTGTTGTCTTTTTCCCCAATGCGGGTAAATATAGGGAAAAAAGTAAAAAAAAGAAAAAAGAAGAACAAAAAAATACCTTAAATACATTTTTATTTGAAAGTATCAAAAAAAAAAACGTAATTTTTCACGTAGAAAACATAATCACTACTACTAAATAAAGACGTTGACTGTTGTCTTTTTCACCAATGCGGGTAAATATAGCAAAAAAAAAAAGAAAAAAAAGAAAAAAGGAGAACAAAAAATGACCTTAAATACATTTTTATTTAAAAGTATCAAAAAACGTCGTCTTTCACGTAGAAAACATAAGTTATTTGTACGTAGTTTGATGTTTTTTGTTTTATTGTCCAAACTTCGTTTTTCATGATTAACGTAGATATAGGTATAACACATATACACTACTTAAGACAAATTTTCAGTTTTCATATCTATTTCTTAAAATAATGCGATCGTAGACAAAATGTAGTGTGCTTTTTGAGCGAAAAGGTCGTGGCCGTTTTCGACAGATTGCCGCGCTCCGCTTCGCGCGGCCAACTTTCTGTCTTTAGCGAAAGGGTCTAGATATTTTGGCGCTCCGGACAAAACCTTAATTTTGCGCCCCCCCCCCCCCCGTTTTTTAAGTAAATCTCATGCAACCATATCAAAAAGTCAAAAAAAAA